GAGAATTCCGAGTTCCTACTCATTCAGTGAGGTAGTAATAGACCGGTGGAGCTGGAAGGTAAAACGAATACTCCGTAGACAGTTGGATAAAGCAATCACAATCACCTAGTAATAGATCGGATATCGCTACCTGGCCAGCAGATAGCGACAGACAACAGCTAGGTAGACAGTCATGGTCAAAGTGCCACGGCTAAGACCGGAAAGTAAAGGGATAAACAGGTAAGGTCAAGATCCAAGGATGACACAGGATTCCGCCGAACGAGCGTCCAGTTTCTTGTACCGGTAAGCAAACCAGAGCCGCGGCATTAAGACCTTTGCTCGTTGATGTTGCATTCACGATGCTTCTTCACCGCAGTTGGGGTAAACAAACTTGTACTTAACCTAGGTCCTTTTAATGTGAATAAAATTCCTTCCACTTTAATTGGTTTATTCTGTGCACCTGATAATCTTCTCCTAACTCACACACTTCGCTCATGCAAATTATGGTAAACTTGCGTAACTTTATCGCGTGGTATTCTTTTAAATAACTTTCGGACATTTTGTACTAATCGTGGATTCACTTATAAGTAATTTCTTCCATATGCTGATTTAGCGAGTATTTATGTCGTCATATGCGTTTACTTTATTCGATATCTGCATTTCGAATGATTGGCTGTTATTTGACATCCCAGGTGTGCTGCGCTTGATGTGCATGTTGACAATGTGCGTACCTGTCTATCATCCACTAACTCGTCCATCTGGCTCCAGGAGACAGTTGGTCGTTGCTGGAGGGGACGGGGTGAGCGGTCCTTGTGGTCGTGCTAGGCTCGAAGAGCGGTTCCATGCACTCAGATTGGAGCTGACTACGGTCCAGCCACCGCGTTTATTGCCCTTGCTTCCCAATACAGCGTGCTTGTGTTTACCTGTGAAGGGGTGTGGGCCGGCTCCGTTGATGAAACGTGGCTCCCATCCACATGCCTCCCCGTCTTATTCCTTCGGGTTTATATATATATATATATATATATATATATATATATATGTCTGAGCTCATACCACAACACTGTTTAGTCTACGTGGACGATTTTCTGGTTCATGATAAAACTGAAGCGGAGCACAACAAAAGTTTCACCCTCGTTTTGGATCGGCTTGTGCAGCTGGAGCTAAAACTGAAGCCCTCCAAAGGACATAGTTTAAAACTTCAAGTGGCCTACATAGGTCACACTATATCTGAAAAAGGAGTGTTGTGACCCAACGAAAGTAGAACGCGTCCGTTCGTGACCGACCCCAGAAAATAGCGAAGATGTGCGCAGCTTCCTCGGCCTCACTTTATACTACCGGTGATTCGTCCGCCGGTTGGCGACTGTCGCTGCACCGCTGAATAGACTTTTGACGACAGAAAAAGCTTTTAGCTGGGAAGCAGTTCTTCAGCAATCGTGCGCGAATCTGAGTTCCGCTTTATGCGGGTCCTCAGTGTTGTGATTTCCGGACATAAGGCCATCAGCAGGCACCTTTATCCTAGATACGAATGCCAGAGATACTGGTATTAGTGCCGTTCTGTCACAACGCGCAACGAAGGGAACTGAACCTGTCATCACTTATGCTAGCAGAAGTCTCTCGGGGCGGGAGCGTAATTATTACACAACGCGTATTGCACAACGTGTATAACGTCAAGCAGTTCAGGCACTATTAGTTAGGTCGCAAGTTCATCATACGAACTGATCGCCAGTCTTTGATCTGGTTACAGAACTTCCGTGATCCCGAAGGGCAGACGGCGCTTGCAAGAGCAGCTACAAGAGTGCGATTTCGAATATCAGCACCGCACTGACGTAAAGCATGCAAATGCTGAGGCGTTAGCGCGTGGGTTTATCAGAAATCATGGACCATGTCCGTCTTGCACGACGCAATGCTTATCCGCCGCCATTCTCGATTCCCGGAGCCGGAGGAATAGGCTCGAATGCGGTCAACCGACTCGGAGTTGAACCTGCTATGCAGTCGCATCTCACAAGGTAAGGACAGACCCAAAAGTCAAGAGCTTTCCGGTGCAAGTTGGGAAACCAAATGCATTTAGTCACTCTGACCTTACTTATGCGTATTGGATGGCATTACGTACTTCAAAAACGGACCGGCCCATCTGCGGAAGATACTTGTTCCCAAGGCGGCCACTCAGGAAGCAATGCGAAGCATTCATGCAGAACTGGGGCATGCTGGACAATAAAAGATGGAAGAAACAATTAGTCTCGTCTTATACGAGATATTGCTATCTACTGCCAGTCATGTGCCGACTTGACACTAAACAAGAACCCGCCAACGACTCACCGTGGGCGTCTACCACCAATGACCGCGGGGATTCCGAACGAGTTCGACATCATTGGTCCCCAACCGGAGACCGCTAGGGAAAGTCGTTACGTTTTGGTGATGGTGGACTACTTCACGAAGTGGCGTGAAGCGGTCCGCATAGAAAATACAAACGCATGGTGCGTAGCGAAAATCTTCCCCTACCCTGAGGTGTGAAGGTGGGGTTCATCCTACCAGTTTCCCTCCGAGCATGAAGCCAACTTCGGAAGCAGGCTCATGAGTGAGTTGTGCCATATATTCGGTATCCGGAAGACACGTTACCACATACCAACCGGAAGGGAATGTACTGGTTGAGCGCACAAATGGTACACAGAAAGCGTTACTGACGTCCTTCACGTGCAGTGAGACACCTCGAAAATGAAATATTTCTTTACCTCGATGTTTGCTGGCCTATCGAGAATCCGCGCATTCGTCGACGGGTCAAACACCACATTTAAGTATAACAAGACGCGAATTTCACTGACCCTCGGACACTACTGCCGACTGAACACCATGAATCCATGGTCGCGTCTGATCACATGCTTCAAATGCCATCCAGAGTGCTACTTGCACACCAATTGGCGCAGTCGCATTTGCAAACTTCGCAGAGCAACCAGAAAGTGAATTTCGATCGCAAGGCGTTTGAGAGTCCTCTCAAGCCAGATGACATCGTTTGGCTCAAGTTACTAGTAATCCCAACGGGCATCCCTGCTAAATTCTGTCACCAATGGGAAGGCGCGTACATCGTTGGGAACGTACTATCTGACGTAACATACAGAATCATGAAGCCTGGCGTATCGAGTTCATCGATTGTTGTGCACTTCAACAGGCTGAAGGCGGTCAAGGGTGTTAGTAGCACCGAGGACAGCGCCTGTGAAAATAAGGGATATTGTAACAACTCCGCAACCGTTCGTATAATGCGCTGTTCGAACGACGTACTAGGTTCCTCCGTTATCAGACTATTGAAGCTACTCAAGTACGTGGATCAATGACGGCCTCAACAATGGATGAACGCTGGCAGGTTATTGTTTACCGCTTTACTTCTAGGTCTTAGCCGACGGTTGAAGCGATGGGCTGAACATTTTTGCTCGCAGTTTTCCTGGCCACTAGCTCCATCTGTTTCCCCTGGGAAGCTTACTGGTGATAAACGGACTAGCTCCTCTGATCCTGCCTGTCACCAAGAAATCTGTCGGGAACTCTGCTGCCTAAACCGTTACAAGGTACCCGGCCCTGATAGTCTACCTCCTACTTTATTTAAAGAAGAGAGCACTTCGCTGGTTCGTGCACACGCCGCTTTGATATCAGAAGTCTGGGCAAATGAGGACGTTTCTTCCTCCTGCAGTGAGTCGATAGTTTTCCCCATCTTCAACAAGGGCCTGCGCACAAATTGCCCCAATTACAGATGTACAAGCTTGGTTCGCATTGTTTGCACGATTCTGGTGTCCATCATTCTCCATAGGCTATCCCCAAGGCGTTAATCACTACAGCGAGAAGAACAGGCTGAGTTCCGCTCTGGCCGCGCCTGCATCAATTAGATTCTCATGCCTCGCCAGATTCTCGAACACCGCCATGTTTATCCAAAGCCAACGGTTGTTGTGTTCCTGAATACCCGTGCTGCCTCCGATTCTCTCGACAAGACTGCATTCTGGCACTGTCTGTTGAGGGATGACATTCCCGGGAAATTCGTTTCCATTATGCGTACTCTGTTTAGTCTGACCTCGGGTAGAGTTAGGGCTTATGACAACCTTTCCCCTTCCTTTGTTGTCACCAATAAGGTACCACAAGGATGCTCTATCTCTCCGTTCCCCTTCTAATTTGCCATTGATAATGTCTTCAAAAATTCTCTAGAAGGTTGTTGTACAATAGCGTTGAGCTCCTCCCAGGTAGTCGGATGGTTGATTTGGATTGCGCTGATGATATCGTCTTGCAACAAGTTGTCCTGCATCACAAATGGAAGTCATATTCAAATCCACAACCGCCTTTAGCACAACGGACCGATCGAGAATCGGAAGCATGACACAACTCCATACAAACGACTGTAGTTGGTTCTCTTGTGCGGCAGGTTACGGCTGAAAGTGCAGCGAACCACGAGGGTTAATAAATCGTGTCAAGAGATTGTGTGGTATAATCTGGGTAGAATCAATGTACCGTGGTGAACAGATACCTGCCGAATAACTGAATTATACTTAAATGAATAGTCGGGACTCTTGAGTAAAGCTGCCTTTCTTTATCTTCATTATGGTATACGACCTGTATCGTTTGGTGACTGGAATCGAGATGAAAGAAGGGGAGAGGGATCAGTCGATGACTTGTTCGAGAGGGGAATGAAGCCTCTCCAAACTTGACCTCGGTTGTTATCTCCCGGCTGTCTGATTGTGGCCCCAAAGCTAATAAATACATTTGTTTGAAAACACTTGTTGACATGGCTAGAGGCTGAACTCGGTGGCGTCTGCACTGTGGGTTTCTCTATTCTTCTGGTGAGCCTAGCCCTCCATTCGCAATCAAATCCCCAAAGCATAAAAACAAGGCATACTGTTATTTGATTTGCCTTAATTTTTGTTTTTAGACGTAAATTTTACCACGGCAAAAAGTGAGTTATTGCGACACAGTTGTCGGGATGTATCTCACCTCTGGTTACTGGGTATGTGCGTGTGTTTCATATGAAGGAAGAGGGAAAAATCATTGTTACGTCTGGAGACTGTTTCCCTTCCGAATGTATTTTGCATAATACGCAAAATGGTAATTTCAGAGAAGGCTTGGATGGGCACAAAAGCTCTCCTAGTAGGGTTCGTGTGGTAACTCTATGGTGAACTAATTAAATTCACCTTAGTGGTTGAAAATGAGAATTTCACACGTTTATGCAACAGGAGGTTGTGATCTATCCAGCTGGACCAAGCTAGGGACTCGCGTTCAGACGTTCCCTGCCACCTTTTATCACAATTGCAATGGAGATATTTGGTGGACGAGAGCCACTACTTTGATCTCCTTTTCTTCTTTCGAGTCTGTCGCTTTTTATTTCTCATTTCGACAATCTGTTGTGACTGTTTCTTCAGCGCCGTTCGAGTGAGGATATCGTTCTCATCACCACCTACGTCGTCATCTGAGAGAAATGAAGAAAAGAAAACGGAGATGAAGCCAGTCGCAAACCGCACTGTGCAGTATACATGAAGTGCAGCCACAAAGCGTGGTCATGAGCTAGTGATACAATAGAAAACCCACTTGAATCTTACTGGGAATGGACGGTATTGCATTCAACTAGCTCATTCTGAGGGAACGCACTGCGAAAATATAGATTTACTGCTTTCATTGAAAGCCCACTAAGGTCATATGCTTCACCCAGCGGATTAGCAAACGGGCGATCTACACGGAGCTCACTGTAGTTTCACATCAGTTATTGGAAACAATTTGACCGAAACTACTGTTTTTGTTACTCAGCAAGTCTGCTTGAGGTTGCTATGGAATACCAGTAGAGATTAGTGGCCGTTTTAGTTATTGGATCTTGTCAGTAGTCCCACCCGAGTTCCACAGAGTGCAAAGATTTCGGATTGTCCATATGGACCTTAACCTTCCACAAAATCTGCTTAGACACTGATACTTGTAATGTTCCTAGCCTACATACCTCTGTTAGAACAGAGAACTCTTATTTTTGTGTCCACCGAGGTCCAGATGTATTACGCGTTGGTTTGGGCATTTCGTTGATCTTCTATCTTCTCCGAGTCTCCCTAAAATAGTTGATGACCGAACGGCGGTTGGAGCACAGACGCTCCCACGGTTTTCGAAATGCTTAACTTGTATGTTCAATTCTTGTGCTTATCGTTAGAAGAACTGGCAAACAGAACAAACTTGGAACCTGGGGAAAGCCAAGCAACAAGACACTTTTCACGCATTCGTCGACGATTCGGACAGTTATTAACGAAACATCGATTGGATGAAATGCTTGACGTTGTTTTTCCTGGCTTTGGCTGGTCAATACCAAAGAATGATCAGTGACTTTGAACCAAGCTCCCCGATGGACGACAAAGATGAGTTAACGCAGTGAAACAATAAAAGCACCTGCGTTCCAAGTTCGAGCTGATTCATGTCACTCTGATAAATTAATTCTATGGAGGAATGATCATCCGTACGTTACAGGACCTACTACAAAAATTCCCCGAAACTGCTGAACCGTGGTTTTTCCCTAACAAAAGATGACCACCCTTTTTGAAGAAAATACATTTCTGGTCTCAGGCCACAAGTTTGCGCACTAAACATATTTTCATATGGCTAAGAATAATATATGTAACCGTTCATCATTCCTCCTGTTGACTATGTCCAGAGAACTAGCAGCGGCACGCTCACTAGGTCGAAATGGTTAATAAGTTCTTGGAAGGACAAGGTGCCGATCGCGAACTGGTTGCCTGAATAGATCATTACAGGGGAACAAAAAAATTATGTAACAGTAGTTCGGAGAACAAACTTCTAGGACGCGACAACACGTGCGACCGTTGTGAGAATGCCTGGCACACTCCAGACACTAGGATTAGCTGATTCGGTGAATTTGCTCTCAAAGTGTCCGCGTGTATTCGGCGCCGTGCGTTCGATTTTGTGTGGCATGACAGGTTCGTTTGCATGATGTGAACAACGAACTGATGTCTGACATTCTGATATGAGCACCTATAGCAATACGTTTAAGAGGCTACCAACCGCTGTTGGTGTGGGTTGTCTAGGTCCCAACGCTAGGTCCAAGAAACTGCTCCGTTAAGATAACCGACTAGGGTCAGTCACTGCGTTTTACAGGTTTGGTAGGCAAACATGTTCAGTACGCAGACGTACTCGAATAAACTAGAAGCATACATTAATGCGACACGGGTGGGATTCATACAAATTGGGCACACATTCCCTCGTTTCGATTTGCATCCCAACACAGTACTATAATTCTGAGGTAATCCTATGTGAATTATTCTACTCGTGCAAAAACTGTGTAAGTCGGCTGTGAACTACCTGTGAATTCCATTCGTATGGTTCCCATTCCTAGCCCTTTCAGTTCACACTAGCCATGAGGTGTGTGTGTGTGTGTGCGTAGGACTGGGGGGATGAAGCACAAGCCGTCATGGATCCTCTGTGTGGTTGATCGCAGTTTAATCGTCAGCGATATATGACAACCCTATGCAAACAACCATATATAGTTAACACCGGATATTTACCATTCGAACAGGCAGCCCAAAGAGGAGCATTATCATTGTGGGCCAAATTGCTCCACCTTTGAGCTTGTTGAAACCTCTGGACTCCTTCGGCAGAGATAAACTGTTACAACTGGTGGTTCCGTGCCATAATGCTCCCAGAAAAGGTGCATTTACTAAACTTCTCTACCTATGACACCGGTACGAGATCACTCTCTCCCTGGAGGATAGAGTGTACAAGGCAGTCGTGGTTTCAACTCTCCTTTAAGGCTGTGAAATCTGACCCATTCGATAAGCAGACATAAGAAGGCTAGTTACGTTCGAACACCGGTGCCTTCGCAGTTTGGCTCACATCTGGTGGGAACACCGCGTGAGCAACGAGTGTGTTCAACGTTTTGTTTACGCCACAGGTAAAGGAACTGAACCGCTCAGCGCCGTTATTTCATCCATCAGGCTCCGTTGGCTCGGCCACGTGTTAAGCATGCCAGCCCACCGACTCCGGTGGCGTGTGTTGTTTGCGCGCCGGGGGTGTGGATGGAAGAAGAGGAGAGGCTGGCAAGCTATGAGCTTGTCTTGAGGAATGAAGGCCCTCACTTCGAAGCTGGCCTCGGTTGGAGCGTTTCGGCTCCGTGGTTGCGGTTCGAAAGACGATGAGCTCGTTGGGCTGGATACACTTGGCGATATGGCTAGGAGCCGATCTCAGTGGCGTTCGTGTTGTGTGTTTCTTTGTCCCTCCCCAACCCTCTTAGCCACCCCCTACACCGCCATCTCAATTCTTAGCATAGTACAAACTTGCATAATTTTTTTGCTGCATAGTAGCCAGCCGGTAATTTTCTGGAACAATGCCCATCCGTTACTGGTAGCTCAGTTGGCGTGCACTTGTTGTATGAAATTTTCTTTTCTTATGTTTTTCAAACACAGCAGCTGAAGTATTTTCCAGTCCTAGCTAATGTGTGTAATAATAATGTAATCATAAGATGTGGTTGATGGCTTTATCGCGTACAAATAAATATCAGCAGTCGTTATATAACACTGGATGTAAAAAGGAACATCGGATAAAGCTGTTGTAATATTGAATAGCGCGGCGTTGATGCGACAGAATTCAGACAGCCTCCAATTTCCCCATTTATTTTTGCTGTGTATGGCGCAAAAACAGCTCACGACGGAAGAGACGATCTACTTTGGAGGCAAGATAACTAATGATGCAGGCTGATCCGTCGATCGTTTTGAGGCATTCATTGTGTGAATGAATTGCAACGCGCAAGCCGAATGTAGGTCGCGATTCGCATTGAAGTGAACTGCGGTCAAATCAATCACTGGGACCGTAATTAATGAAGTAGATGGAAATTGGTCGTTGTCCACTCAGAAACACTGCACTGCATGGCCAGTTTCGAACTTAGCAGTGCTCACCAAGTAGACATAAGCGGTAGCGAACTATTAGGAAGTTAGTTGGTACCTCCGCAAGAAATTTCTCTAGCAAAGATATTTCCATCCTCATCGCCAAAGCCCGATCTGCGTTTGCCAACCTGCAACAGTTATGGCCTCCTCGGGATGTCTACCACTTGGTAAAGAGTCGTGGTTACAATTCCACCGTTCGGACGGTGTTGTTGTAAGGCAGTGAGTCATGGCCAGTTCAGGTAGATGTCATGTGCCGACTGTCGGCCTACGAAAATCGGTGTCTGATGAGAATCTTCGTATGAAGTGAACAGCGTACCTGCAACGGTGAGGTCAAACGTCGTGTCTTATGAAATGTGAGTACTCCCTACAACAAGCTGGTTTTACTGTGCCAGTTAGGATGGCTCGGCGACGTTCTGCGTATGTCATCTGAGCGTTTGCCCCATTGCGCTCTGTTTGCGCGTGCAAGACTCGACTGGGAGAGACCATGTGGTGGTCAGCCATCTACCTGGAGACAGCAATTGAAATCATTGACTTCACGGCTTTCTGCCGTTGGATCCACAGGCCTGCCTGGTTGGGAACCTAAACACGAAGAGTGTCAGTGGCTCGAAACAATTCAGCAAATGGATCTCAATCGAAAGTAGTGGCAGATATGTGTACATACTTTGTTTAGATTCAGACATTAACGTCTAACAATTAAAAAAGATATGAAAATATGTTCCGTCTTTTTGCAATCAGAATGTATGTATATGCGTAATCTCAAGTCTAGCAACTAGACATAGAGTCAACAAAGCCTTGGAGATTAACAGATAAAGGGAAGTAACTGCGTCATAATCATCCTTGCATAGTAGTTGAAGGTGAGCAACACACTTCAACTAATATGCCGCAGGAAGAAATATTTTGACAAAAATTGGAACAAAACATTTTTAGTTCGTTTTTCACACGCTAATGTTTCACTTTTTTGTCAGTTTTAAAGTTTGAAGTATTAAACATGTGAATGCGGTCCATGTCTTCAAGAGTGTTTATCCATTGGCACTCCACATCTTTGGGTCCTCATCCTGGAAGACGTATGGGTCCAACAGCGGCTAAACACGAGGTCAGCTATTTCATGTGCTGCCTCCAAGTGGAAGGCTGACCACCACGCGGTCGCCTCCAGTCAGGTCCTTGACGAGCGAATAGAGCGCGACGCGGTAGACGCTCAGGTGCCATGCGTAGGACGTGACCGAGCCACCTTAACTGGCGAAGCAAAACCAGTTTGTTGAAGGGAATACTCACATTCCACAAGTTGCAACGTCGAACCTCATTACGATTAACTCGATGTTGCCACCAAACACAAGCAATCCTCCTTAAGCAACCGTTATCGAGAGCAGAAAGACGATGCATGTCTTCCACGCGAATCGACCAGGACTCGCTCCCATACAACAACACGGAGCAAACAGATACGTTGTAAACGCGGCCTTTTAGCGAGAATGAGACGTCGCGATGACGACACAAGTGCCTCAGATTGGCAAATGCTGATCGGGCTTTAGCGATGCGAAGCGAAACTTCTTTGTTGATAGTGCCGTTAGCAGAAACACAGCTCCCAAGTTAGACGAAACTATCTACCTGCTCAAGTTGTGCACTTTCAAGAGTGAGCACGGAAGCAGGTGTAAACCAATCCTTGAGCACTACTTTACACTTAGATGGGGAGAAGCTGATGCCATACTTAAATACCTCAACCTCCAAACGATCCAGAATGAGTTGTATACCCTGAGGATCGCTACCAAGTAAGGCGATATCATCAGCATCATCTAAGTCGGTTGAGCGCTCACTTGATAGAAGCTCTAGACCAAAATGTTAGAAACCTTCTAGAACATTCAGCAGAGCGTTTTCGATTGCGAAGTCGAAGTGAAATGGGGACATGGGACAACCCTGTCACAAACCGCTATTGACAGCGAATTGTAAAGAAGGCTTGCCATAGACCCGCACCGTGCCGGAGGTATGAAAGTAAAGTACTCGTATGATGGCGGTATATTTCTCTAGCACCCCGTCCTTTAGAAAGCAACGCCATAAAGCAGGTCAATCAATGGAGTCAAAAGCGGCACGTATGTCTAGGAATGCAACGATAGTGGGCCGTAATAAACGCGGTGACGTTCGAGAAGTTGGCGAAGCATGAAGATTTGATTCACGCATCCTCGGCCGGGACGGAAACCAGCTAGTTCTTCACGGCAGGATGATTCACGTATTGGAGATAGTCTGTGAAGCAGAATGGATGCCAATAGCTTAGAGGCAACCGAAATAAGACTAATCCCGCTATGATTTACACATGAAATGCGAGCGTCTTTCTTGAAAATCGGGACAATAACTGATTCGCCCCAAGAGGAAGGCACTCTCTCTTCAAGCCAGATGTTTGCAAACAGCGAGATCAGCTGGTTACTGATCGCCACGTCACGGTATCTGAAGAGCTCCGGGGGAAGTCCGTTTCAGCGGGCGGCATTGAACCTCTTCAAGCGTCGAATCTCGAGGCAGACTTCCGCTTTGCTGGGTAGATTCATTGGGACGAGCCAGAATGGACAACAAGATGTATTGCATGTACTGATGGACGGTGGAGGCCGGCGGTCCATAGGCCTCTGTTGGTTGGTGAACGGAGACTCATCCACCTCGCAAATAACCTCACTGACACCAGGCTTCCTGAGGCCAGTGAACCGAATGAGTTGGAAAAGCTTGCGAGTGTTGCCAGAAAGGGCAGCGGTCTCCATCTCTAAAGCACGCTCAAACCACCATGTCTCGCAATACTTGCGTAGGCTTTGCTTGAGCAGCCGGTTGGTAGAACGGCGCCGCCCGTTGCAATCCGATTCCACCGGGATGTCTTTGCGGCGTTTGAACAGTTCCAGAGAACGAGCAGTGATCCAAGCCTTTAAGGGGCGTCGAGCTAGGCTGTAGCTTGATTGTCCGGAAATGGTCATCACTTTCTGTATACAAATGCAGTGTTGCTCTATGTCTTGCCGTGGATTACGACTGAGTGCGTATGCTAGTGAAGACTGATAGCTCGCCTGGACGGAGGAATCAGTTAATCTGTTTACATCAATCTTGTGGTACTTCGTGTTTCAGGACCCGCGAAAACACATGTAGATTTTCGCGCAAACTAGTGCGTGATCTGAGTCAAGGAAGGTAGACCAAAAGGACCTGCAGTTCAGTACGCTGCCACGCCGTCTGAAGCTAATTGCAATGTGATCAATTTGAGACCATGGTTGTGTTAGCGAAGGCGGTTACCACGTTGCGAAACGTTTTATCGTACGCCTGAAGTTAGTGCTCGAGAGAAACAGATGGTTACCTTCGCACAATGTGAGAGGCCTCTCTCCATTATCAGAGCGGTTCTCATCGAACGCGAGGTGGCCACCAAGGTGGCGTTCGTATGGTAACAGGCGGCCAACATGTGCATTAAAATCTCAAACAAGGAAAACGACATCCGACTTTTTAGCATAAGTCCGGAGCTGATGTAGATCCCGGTAGAATTCATCCTTGACCGAGTCGCCACTGCAGTCGTTTGGAGCTCACATGGAGATCACAAACAAGTTGTGTCTCTCTTCGCGGTGCCTGTTGATTCTACACGAACCCCGAAGCCGAATTGCACACAGTCGTCTGTTAATTGGGAACCAGTCCAGTAGTGCCGCCTCGGCCTTGCCACTTAGTGCTACACCTACACCAGCCAAATCCGTTGAGGCTGCTTCTGGATCTCCAGAAAGACTCAGGTGATATCTGCCTTCGTGGTCAGTGGGGATGTCAATGTAAGCACAGTGCTGGGATTTTGCAATCGGGTTTCTGAAAGGCAGCAGCCATCAATATCGAGTGACTCTCGGGTGCGCGCTAGACCGGCTTGCTGTCCATTCTACATGAGTGTTCTAACGTTGAAGCACGCCAGACGGAACGAGGATCGGACACGAACAAGAGGCAAGATTGAGCTCCGTGGTTCGCAGCGCAACCGGAATCGCAGCCAGATTTTTGAACACATGAATCGGGTAACGGAAAGTAAAGACTGTTAGCAAACAAGCAATTGGCGCGTGATGAAGTCGCATGAATGTGGGAAGCAGAAACGGTAGCTGATGAACACGTTGTAATACAGTGCATTGTTTTGTGAGACAGCGTACTACAATCCGGTTACCGAAGCATAATAGCTGAAGTGAGTTACTCACCTACAATTCAGATGCCATAACGATGAGGCTGCGGTAATTCTATCTGTCATCCGCTGTATTTCATGGTTTCGTTTGTCTCTAGGTCTATTAGACCGTTGCTTTTACTACTATTAATACTGCCACTAATAATAATACTCACAACAGCGTGCAAATAGGCAGGGAGCCGTACTTCGCATTCAGGATTACCTATCTTCACTTGACTCTTGATGGCATTTGTGGCAGATGTCATTTGCTGTAAACAAGTGCATTATGTTGGACAAATGCCACGTACCGCAGGACAGTTTGTTACTACAAAATGCACGCATCTCGTAACGCAGGGCAGTTCGCGACTTGGGCGTGAGATATTTAGTCACTTTTAACTGTTCTGAACATTGAGACTGTCAAGTTTCGCAGGCCATGAAAGTCATCGGATACATTTGCCGAACAACCTCCTCGTGGTGCCAGCTGGGAGGTTCGGGATTTTCCCGTTCCAGCAAATGGTTCCGCGGCAGTATTCCAGGATGTGGTGGGTTTTCGCCTGGCAAGCGTTCTTCCTATAAAAAGCCACATATGTCCGTTTAACAACACTCTGACTTGGCGGATGTGACTCGCCACTAAATAAAGTCACTGCCTCTTGCTTCATCTTGGCGAAGCATTGTATTCCAGCAAGCTAATGCTGTAATTTTGGGGAGCATTGGGCCCCTGTTTGACAAAGGAACAAACGAAAGGCGTATGAACTGAGCAATCAGTCACCGGCTCCCAATGGGTGCGATTCCCTGAATTCGCTCCGCTGCCTTGCGAGCAGGCTATTCAGCCAAAGGCTCGGGGTGGTGTCCCCTAAGTCAACACCATACTTCGGCTTGGGCAACCGGGTAGTATCTCGCCCTCTGAGGAAACCATGGATATTGTTGTGTTGTGTTTTATTTTACTGTTTCTGTACCTTCGTTTGAATCCCATGGTTTCTGATGGCGTTATGTCTGTTAGCAGACTTTTGCAAATATATATATATATATACCTAACGTAATCTAGCATATGGCTTTACAAAAAATATGTACTGCTTTATATGGAATACTGTTCAGTTGCCCAATCTAATCTGCGGAACTATGACCAGCATGCTCTCGAGAGGTCTAGAGATGCTCCACCGAAAAGCTATGTGGATATTCCTGAAAGTTATCATACAGTGAGCGATATGATAGAAGTCGCGCAGAAATTCAACTACCTGGGAAGTTGTATCAACGCCCGTTGGATTGAAGATGAGGTCACACAACTTATAGCAAAAGCTCGACGCACTTTTGCTAACCTTCGCCATTTATGGCGCCGGCGCGACATCACTCTCGTCCTGAAGGGTAGAGTGTACAATGCAGCGGTACTTTCGACCCTACTGTACGGTTGTGAAACCTGTCCCCTTAGGTCAGTGACATAAAGAGGTTAGTTACATTCGACCACCGGTGCCTTCGCAGTTTGCCTCACATCTGGTGGGAACACCGCGTGAGCAACGAGCGTGTTCGATACCTTGTTTATGCCACAGGAAAAGGAAATGAATCGCTCAGCACCGTCATTTCACGCATCAGGCTCCGATGGCTTGGCCACGTGTTACGCATGCCAGCCCACCGACTCCCGTGGCGTGCGTTGCTTGCGCGCCTGGAGTGTGGATGGAAGAAGATGAGAGGTGGCCAAGCGATGACTTAGTCGAGAGCAATGAAGGCCCTCACTTCGAAGCTGGCGTCAGTTGAAGCCTCTCGGCTCCCTGGTTAGGGCCCGAAAGACGATGAACACGTTTGGCTGGATACACTTGCTGACATGGCTAGAAGCCGACCACAGTGGCGTTCGTGCGGTGAGTTTCTTTGTCCAACCCCCTACCACTTAGCCTCCCCCTCCAACAACGATGTCATTATTTAGCATTTTGTAATTTTGCATAGTAAATTATATTTTTTCTGCTACATAGTAGCTGGCAGGTAGCTTACCGGAACGATGCCCATTCGTTACCGGTAGCTCAGCTGGCTTGCACCTGTAGCATTTTATTCCCTTCTTTTCTTTTAGGTATTACGGCATAGTAGGTGAGGTGTTTCCCACCTCTAGCTAACGTGTATAGTGTGCCTGTGTGTGTACTGGTATTAACGTCAGGTCTTCATACCGAGATAGGGGACACTACGAACTGCTTAACCTACGCGGGTAGCGGACTAACTCATCTCCGGGTTCGACGAGATAGTGTCAGCAAAAGCAATTACACCCAATTATTTGAGACACGGACGGACCTGGCAGCGTTATCCATAGATCCCTCGTCACTGTCCCTCGCCCAGCGTAGCCCTCTCATTAACTGTTGTCTAACGAGTTAATTCATTGTACTGACATGGTGCCGTGGGCAGTTGTTGTTTCAGATATCGCATGCATCAAATCGAAAGCTCACCTTCGTGCACGGTCTCCCGAACACTGGAGGGTAGCTTGATTCTGGTATTGTAATCAGGCATCTTGCCTTCAAGTTTGCTGAAGAACTGTGTTGGGTGAAGAGTGCAATAGGTAGGTCAGTGGTAAACATGCAAGATAGATAGATGGTAGAAACAGGGAAAATTCCAAGAAAAGGAACCGGATAACCTCAGTGACAACTTACGTCGGAACCAAAATATAGTTCAGAATCCTGGAAGGATGATTTAAACGAACCGAAAAGTTTTGCATGTATGTAAATCAATGCGAATAACATTTAATTTCAACGACCCCAAATGACCACCGGAAACTATCGGGGATAAAGTATGCCACAATGATGAGGGTTATGGCAGTGTTGATACTGAAATCATTTTTGTCACCAATAATCTCAATGGTACTACATCAGTGTTCAATGAACTGGTGTCTTACACACATGTTACAATGACTCACAAACGAGGTGTATTAAATCAATTTTCATAATGGAAGATGGAAGTACGTACATAATGAATCAATAGGTTTCAGGATTAAACGCTTTGCTTATGAATTGTTGCACGAAACCTAAACCTGAGTTGCGTTTTGTCTCGAAGTCTGTTCTGTCACAATGATATTAACCCGAGTAGAGAACCGTTGGTTGTCCCTTGTAGTTAACACCATTTCAAAACCGACCACATCTCTATTCAGGCTCTCACTTCGGACTGATACATCGTTCTTTAGATTGGAGCTCGAGACGTTGAGATTTAGTGGGGAGCATTTGTTAAATCGTGGTGTTCTGTCCCCGCAGTATGAAGACTTGGGCGAAATCGGTCAAGCAAGGAAGGTCTGGAAGCGAATGGTGTTCAGTATGTTACCGACAGTAATTCAGTAAGAACATGCTCTTGCTCATATGCAACGTCTGCTCCCTCACACGCAGGTGGGCTGCTTTTACCTGAATACCCCTTCCTTTCGAAGTTCGCTGCATCACTTTAAGACCAAACAAGAAACAGTTTATGTGGTCAATGCGAGTAACTTCACAGGGTTAATTAATTGTTGTGCTCTCCGAGAGTACTTGGCGTTATCAACGAAGACACTGCGGAAGTGGAACGCAACACGCAACCCTAAGCATTTTAGCACCGATTCAAGAACCATAAGAGACATGATGTAGGAGAGTTTCAAAAAGAAAGAATTGTGGGACGACAGAATAAATCCACACAGTTTGGGCATTGATCCGAATTGCAACTGGCCAATTAACGGTACAGTAAATCTCGGAACTGCGTGGGTATCCTCTACGAGTGTTTTACCACTGGTGGTATACTAGTCTAACAATAAGGTATACCACAAAATACCGTAATAATAAGAAGATAGGCGTAATACACAGATTCTCAAGGCATACTTGCCCAAATCTCCAACTTCCCAACTGCAGGAAACCTTCAGGTCAGTTGGCAATCCCCTTCCATAAGTAAGTTTGAAGTACAAAAGCGCAAGCGAAAAACCTCAATTAACAGATCCACTGGAATGATGCGGCACCAATCGCACTGCGATTGATTTTATGCCACATATGTCAGGGATTCCGGTGAAATCACGGCAGCTATCTTATGTCCTGTGTTGATAAGGGAGGCGAGCGGTGGCTCAGTGGTTACTGCAGTAACTTCTAAGGCGCACGACATGTATCGTACATTTGGAGTCCAAGAGGAGACGTAAAGACATCTAATGCCCACTAATCAGTCTAACAAGCGTAAAACTTGCGGGTCAGGTACTCACTCCGCAACGCAGTGTCCAAATCCAAACACAAGAAAGACATGGAAATCCACCAAGAATCATCTATGTTAGTTCATAGGCTTTTCAAAGAGATCAGGCAGGCCACGATCATTGAACGCTCTTCGGTACACTTTCATAGCATCTAAATTTAACAAATTCTACACACCCATGTAACGTAGATAACTTTACTCACAGATATGAATTTCTCCGCAAAACTATTGGTGTCCATATTGAAGCTCATATATTCCATGATAAACATAGAAGAAATTGTCTTCAGTCTTTTGGTTTCTTGAGCAGCGCAGAAATAACGATGATTAAATAAGCACGAAGCCAGTTAATTATATTGAAAACCTCCCCCACTCACTCAGCGCAATGTGGCAGTTATGGCTGACACCTGGCCGAGCTGTACGCTATCGAGCGCGTCCCCAATTTGCGGATTGGGGAATGCCTTCCTTGTGTAGGTAAAGGCGAATAATTTTCACCTGCTTTGCAGGCGAGATGAATAAGCAGTTGCAGACAATCAGTCAGCGTCGCAGAGCTGGTCACCTGGTTCCCCATCAAATACCACATATGCTCGAACGACGCTGCGTCAAAGCTAATGTGACCGGCAATAGCGTCACTGACCACTCACTCCTGTAACTGGGGGTGAATACCTAACGGAGGGTGGTCGAACAACCTTGCTGGCCACTGGCTTCGCTGTGGACGGCGACCGAACACAAAGAAGACGATGAGCCACCTGGCTGTCAAAGGTCTTGGTGAATCGTCTCGCTGCCTTGCCGGTCGGGCCTTTAAGATCAACATCTAGGGGTTGGGCCACTTAAGTCAACCATCTTCCTCGGCCTGGGCAACCAGGAAGCACACTGCCCACACAACAAATGAATCTTCGCATCCTGTCCCCAGAATCTCTCCCTCCTTTTTCTTGTTGTTACTCATGTGTTGTGGAACACTGCCAATTTTTTATTGCCCAGACGTTATATATACATATATAAATATATATATGTATATGTATATATTTGCGGAAACTTCAGCTCTCACCCACCTGGCTGGTCGCTAGGTAAATATGCTCTCCTCTGTCACAAAGTTTTACGTCTTCCTCTTCACCTAGCGCAGTCATCATACACTCATTCGAATCGGATTAACTCCTTGTGTTTAGTAGGGAATATTTTTATAGAAATATTTTCCTCGGAAGGTGCTTTGTACAACGTAAGTTGTTTTAGCGCCCTCCGTGCTTCCATCCAGACGCGCCATTCCGTTGTTTTTAACAAGTTCCACTGCTACGATACTGTGTTGGATCAATAATTCTCCTCGCTATCTGCTAGTCCTAGCATGACATCCATAGGATCATTCCTAACGAAAATACGACGCAATCTTTGTTTTCAATTGCATTCGCTCATCGCCGGCACTTTCTGCTGTCAACCACCCACTACAAGCCAATTCCAACGGCTTTGCCTACATGAACCAGTGTGGATCAATAAGCTAGTCAAACTCCATGTACATGTGTCCTCGTCGTGTACACTAGCCTACGGCAACCGACATCTACTTTGCGACTCGGAAAAAGACAGCAGGCGTCACTCGTCCTCTACCTCACTTGACCACACAAGTGCAGCGTTCGTTTGTAAGGACGGCACTCAATGGAATTGATTCCACCTAACCGCAAATGTGGGGAGCAGGAGTGCATACGAGCAGTTACGCGAGACATCATTTGTGCATATTGCGGCCATCCGTTCCAACGTGCTGGGACAAGTCAGCTACAATACAAGAGACAAAACAGTCTGACTGACTGGCTATGGTGTTGCCAAACATGCAGAGCAATCCCAATAGTCAAATGTATGATATCGTTCCTGAAAAGTGTAAAAACTGACTGAAACAGTCCAGCAGATGGCAAGTTTCAGGGCTTTGCCATTAGAATCTAACAACACCGATCTTGCTCTAAAACAACTCCCTCTGAGCTCTGTCTTTGTCGTACGCTAAAGTGAAGCTTGTCAACCGCCCGAACGCATCTGCGCCACCTACTCTGACAGATAGTAACCCGCGTAGGGGCGGCAGTCTTCGCGGTATACTCAGCCCAACCGCGACTGGTGGTGGTCGCGTGGCAGCGAAGCGCTGTTACGGCGTACAGTTGGCGATTATTTATTATTTCATTTACGCCTTGGTCACAACTCCGACACCGACAGTCTAGAGCAGCGTAACGTACGCGTCGATCGCCTCGCTAAAAACGACTAAACAGACACCCGTACGTCCATTTGCTGGACCAAGCATCATTATCATCATACACGTTAGCTAGAGGTGGGGAACACCTCAGCTACTGTGCCGCAATACATAGAAAAAAGGAGAAAAAAGCAACTGGTGCAAGCTGGCTGAGCTACCGGTAACGGATGGGCATCGTTCCGGTAAGCTACCAGCCGGCTGTTGTGCACCCAAAAAATATTATGCAAGATTATATAAGGCTAAGTAATGAGATCGTGGTTGGAGGGGGAGGCTAAGAGGGATGGGGTGGGACAAAGAAACTCACAGCACGAACGCCACTGAGGTCGGCTCCTAGCCATATCAGCAAGTGTGTCCAACCAAACGTGTTCATCGTCTTTCGGACCCCAACCAGGGAGCCGAGACGCTCCAACCGAGGCCAGCTCAGAGGTGAGGGCCTTCATTCCTCTGGACCAAGTCATCGCTTGGCCACCCCTCCTCTTCTTCCATCCACAACCCCGGCGAGCAAACAAGCCATCTCGCGCAAATCGGTGGGCTGGCATGCGTAACACGTGGCCGAGCCATCGGAGCCTGATGCGTGAAATAACGGTGCTGAGCGGTTCACTTCTCTTTCCTGTGCCATAAACAAGGCGTCGAACACGCTCGTTGCTCACGCGGTGTTCCCACCAAATGTGAGCTAAATTACGAAGGCACCGGTGGTCGAACGTAACTATCCTCTTGAGGTCCGCTGCATTAAGCGGCCAGATTTCACCACCGTACAGTAGGGTCGAACGTACTGCTGCATTGTACACTCTGCCCTTCAGGACGAGAGTGATGTCGCGCCGGCGCCATAACTGGCGAAGGTTAGCAAAAGCGCCCCGAGCTTTTGCTATACGATTCGTGATTTCATCTTCAATCTCACGGGCGCTGATACAACTTCCCAGGTAGTTGAATTTTTGAACGACTTCTAACTGATCCCCACCAAGGGTCAGCGTAGGAGGCGGTCCAGACCAATCTTGGAGAAACGCTTTGCACTTCGATGGTGCAAAGCAAAGCCCGAAGTGACGGACAGCTAGTGCTAATCTGTCCAGTGCCGCTTGGCACGTTTGTGAGCTGTCACAGATCAGGGCAATATCATCATCATACTCTAAATCAAGAAGTCGTTCTCCTGGGGGTAGATCCACACCTTCTAAGTCGTGTCCTGTAAACGCGATTTCCATGACTACGTCAACAGCGAAGTTGAAGAGAAAAGGTGACAGCGGGTATCCTTGTCTCACGCCGCTGGAGATATTAAAGGGCGACGACAGCTTGCCGTAAGCCCTCACTCTGCCCGAACTACGCGCATATAATGCTCGGATAATATTCACATATTTCGAAGGTACACCTTTCCTGAGTAGACAGTCCCAAAGTGCATGTCTATCCACCGAATCGAATGCACCTTTGATATCGAGGAACACGACAACGGTGGGCCGCCAATATTTGTGACGGTGCACCAACATCATCATCATCATCATCATTATACATGTTAGCTAGA